ACTAGGAATAAGAAGATGCATAACTGTGTATACTGATAATAAATACGCCCATCTGGTCCTTCACTCACATGGTGCCCTGTAGGAAAAAAGGGGACTTCTGAATCGGCCAACAAAGAAATAAAACATGTACCAGAAATCCTAGAACTCCTGAAGGCAATCAATGATCCCCTTCAGGTGGCAGTGGTATAATGCCCCGGACACCTGGGAATTTTAAACATCTGCTGATTTTTGTGGACACCTACTCAGGGTGGGTAGAGGCTTTCCTTTGTCGAACCGAACAAGCCCAAGAAGTGACCAAGGTGTTACTCAAAGCGATCTTACCCTGTTTTGATCTTCCAATCATCTCAGTACAGAGTGAAAACAGGGGAGCTTTTATGGCAACAGTCACCCAAGAAGTCAATAAGGTTTTAGACATAAATTGGAAAGTACACTCAACCTAGAAACCACAATTGACTGGCGAGACCAAAAAGATGAACCATACTCTGAAAAAGGCCTTGGTGAAACTTTGCCAGGGGACGAGCTCCACTTAGTTACAAGTTCTCCCCATTGCCCTGCTCAGAAGCTGGGTAACCCCTCGAAGTGGGCTCAAATTGAGCCCTTACAAATTAACATATGGGAGACCACTCCTGAAAAAGTCGACTTTCCCTACCTCGGTGATGACTGAGGTAGAGAAAAGAGACTGGGTCTGTTCTCTGAGAGCTGTCATAAACACTGTTAATCAGTATGCTTCTTCTTGTTTGTCTTTTCCTTCTAACACTTCCCTCCACAGGTTCCTACCCAGAGATCGGAGATCAGGTCCTGTTGAAGGCCTGGAAGAACCAGCCCCCAGAAGATCAACTGGCCTCTCAGTGGGAGGGACCTTTTGAAGTTCTCCTGACCACCCACTCTCTGAAATTAACAAGAGTAGCTGCCTTGGTGCATCACTCAAGAGTAAAAGCAGCCCCGCCAGATGAAGAGAAAGAAGTATAAAACAAAGAGCCACCATACTTTTGTACTCCAATTAAGGGCCTGAAGTACAAGGTCAAGAAGCCTACAGCACAATGATTTTGACCTTATTTCCCTCTATCTTTCTGTTTTTTCCAGGAGACTTGGGCAGAAAAGGTGCCGGTGATCCTACAGGCAAAGGGGACATTGACCCTGCAAGCTGGGGACACTCTGACCCTCCCATGTGTAGTCTCAACCCTAACTCTACTAGGTCCAGTTAAGTGGGCCATAAAAGAGCCTGAAAGAGCAACCTTAAGAATAGTGATTATTCTAGTTTGTTTCTGTGTTCCCTGTTTCATGAGACTACTAACAAAAGGAACTACAAATACTCCTAAGTCTAGAAAAATTTTTACCCTGGTAAGTTGGGACTCCCCTTTTTCAAACTCTGAAGACGACTGCATCTACTTCACCAAGATGCAGCCAATTTCCACTCTAACTCACCCCCCACACATATGGCCCCTAGTTGATACCGGGAGGTTTCTCACCCCAGCGATGCCCCTAACCAGCAGGAAGTAGCCAGAAAAGAAGCAACGCCCTGTTTCCCAAGATTGAGAAACTTCCAACAAAAGGGGGGATTGGAAGAGGCTGCCTAGGCCTGGCTCACTATTATTTACTCCCCATTGCTAACCGCCACATTGTCTCGTGATTTTGTTTTTCCCTCTGGTTCCAGTCTCCACAAAAGGTTTAAGATTAACCGATGTTCCTCCCTGGAGGGTGGAAAACAGGTGATAATGATCTAAGAATGAAAAACCAAACAAAGCACCCATTTTGTGAAAAGAAAAAAGCAGGATGTCACCAGATAATCCCCAAGGATGTCGCCAGATAACCTCTAAGAATACCAGTAGAAGATTAACTCATCTAAGACATCACCACCTCAAGGGAAAACTAACACAAACTTTTAAGATCCACAATCCTGTTCCTATAAAAGCCTTCAGCTGATCTCCAGTGGGGGAGATGGGTTTTTTTGAGGAATCTATTCCCCTCTGTCTCCTATATATCAGATATATAATAAACATTTTGCTGCTCACCTCAAAAAAAAAACAAAAACAAAAAAACCAAAAAAACGTGTTTTTCTTGTTTCAAGAGATAAAATTGCAGATTTTGTTATCTGCTTTAAAAAATTATTGTTCCCTCAATTGAGAAAACAATGGCTGAATAAGCTTCAAATGCCTCTTTAGGCTACGTGAGTAAAGAACTGAACAACAGAATAGCATAATAAATCCATTGAGAAAAGTCAGATACATGAGACTAAATGGGCAGCTCCGAGGTGAGATGAGAAGGCGGAGAGGGTCAGGAGCTGGTTGAATGGACACGAGAAATCAGGGGTGGAAAGGAGGAGTGTGATGTCACAGTATAGGGAGAGAAATTAGGGTCACGTAGCAATAAATGTATAAATTTTTGTATGAGAGACTAACGTGAATTGTAAACTTTCACTTTAACTACAACAATAAAATTAAAAAAAGTCAGATAAACCTCAGGACTAAGAGGTTACTCCATTTATACAACACTTAACATGTAACCAATTAGGGAGCATGTCTGAAAATTACAGGTCCATACCAGGAAGACATCAAGAATTCTTCTGACCTGGTTCTAAGTCATCTCTGACTCAGAGGATTTATAGGCAAATGTCATAATTGTCTCAAAGATCCAGGTCCTGCTTGTCTTCTCCAGGAAAGAATCAGAGAAATCAGATTCATCGACATGGACCCTAACTCATCCTGGACTAGATCCAGATTGCCTCTGGAGAGATTAGCAAATCAGGGTCCTATTGCTCCAGATGCCACTTAACTCTTAATGACAGAGAAAACCCCCAGAGTTCTATATATAGAGTCACTTCATAAAATGTTTATTTTTCAGGTCAATTCTGAGGAAAAAAAAATCTGAAAAATCTGAATGTTGGAATGGAATATGAGAATAGATTATTTTCCTCTCAGTGGAAGTGGAATTCAAGCAGAAAAGCCAAAAAGCTTTGAATATAAGACTGATCTGAAATGAATGTTCAGCTTACCTACAATTATAAACATTCTCTATAAGGTTTATGGTCTAGAAGGGCTTCAAAGTTCTACTCGAATAAAGCATGCTACTTAATCTAAGTTTAAAGTCACGTACTTGATGATGGCTTTGGCATGGAATCTGACCAGCCACCTGACATAGAATGCTACAACTAGAAGAGAGGAGTCTTGCAAGACCTCTTGGGAAACAGGAGGCCAAAGCAACTAGAGCCAACTATAGTTACTAAGATCTCAAAAACAGGAAAGATTCTGTTGACAAAACAGAATGTAAAAAGTAGAGGAAGTAGAAGGTAATGTGAATGAAAAAGTATTTTTTAGGGTTTATTCACTAGATACTCTGAGTTCCTTATAATAAATAGAGAATTATACTATAGTACAGAGTGTGTGATCAAGGAAAATTACTTTTCTAAATGTTCAAGTTCTCAGTTTTTTCCTAATTAAAAACTCTAAAATGGGAAAAATTAGACTACTTATACTTCATAGCACATGTGTTTTCTTAGTACAGTAGGTACTGTGTCAGTCTCATAGTCTGAAGGTCCTGAGTTTGAGCCTTGGAGAAGACAGAGGTTTCTGGTACCCTGGTGGCACAATGGTTAAGAGCTCGGCTGCTAAACAAAAGGTCAGCAGTTCAAATCCACCAATTGCTCCTTGGAAACCCTATGGGGGCAGTTCTACTCTGTCCTGTAGGGTCGCTATGAATCAGAATCAACTTGAAAGCAATGGGTTTGGTTTGGTTATACTACATAAGGTTGCTGTTAGGCTTAAATAAGATAAGCCTGGAACAGAATAGGTGCTAAATCTGCATTGTTGCTGTTGTTAGGTGCCACTGAGTCAGTTCCAACTCATAGCGACCACGTGTACAACAGAACAAAACACTGCCCAAGCCATAAGTCCTATGCCATCCTCACCATCCTTGCTATGTTTGAGCTCACTGTTGCAGCCACTGTCTCAATCCATCTCATCGAGGGTCTTCTTCTTTTTTGCTGACCCTCTACCTTATGAAGCATGATGTCCTTCTCCAGGGACTGATCCCTCCTGATAACATGTCCAAAGTATGTGAGACGTAGTCTGGCCACCCTTGCTTCTAAGGAGCATTGTGGTTGTACTTCTTCCAAGACAGACTTCTTTGTTCTTCTGGCAGTCCATGGTATAGTCAATATTCTTTGCCAACACCTTAATTCAAAGGCATCAGTTCTTATTGTTGTTGTTGTTAGGTGCCGTCGAGTCACTTCTGACTCATAGAGACCCTATGTACAACAGAACAAAACACTATCCGGTCTTCTGCCATGCCCACAATCGTTATGCTTAAGCCCACTGTTGCAGCCACTGTGTCAAATCCATCTTGTTGAGGGTCTTCCTTTTTTTCACTGACCCTGTAATTTTCTAAGCTTGGTGTCCTTCTCCATGGACTGATCCCTCCTGACAACGTGTCCAAAGTATGTGGTACTATATTATTACGATGATGAATCAATGGGAAAAGTAGAGAAATGGTAAAAAATATCATCATTTATTAAAAATGGGAAATCCCATTAGATTTATGGGTTATTTATAAAATATTTTGGTTCATTTTTCCTAAAAAGAAAACATAAAAATTTTTGCCATGTTTTTTCCAAACTTAGGGTGTGTGTGTGTGTGTGTGTGTGTGTGTGTGTTTTCCTGGATTTTAAAGAAAGGACTAAAAGAATGATGTAAAAATATATAAATACATTCTTACCCCATAGATGCTATGGAATTGTTATGATGAATATTTTTGGCTTAAAAAAAAAATCACTGAATTTTTCTACTTATTTTCAAAATTACTGGAAAGTGAAGATAATTTTCAAATAATACATTATGATATTTGGTTTGGTTATCTAGCCCATCAATGTGCAGCTTAAGAGAAATACAGGTAGGAAACGAGTGAGATATCTTATTCTCTACTGTGGAAAGCTTAGCAAAGCTGTTCTTTAAGAAACATAAGGAAGGACTATCTATCCTAAATCAGTTAGCATTGGAAATACTTACCAAAGAGAAGGCCTGTGTGTTATAGACAGTAAGGAAATTCCAGCTCCTTTCGCAGCCTGAAATATCTTTCCCTCAACATCAATGCTGACAGCACTGGTACATTCATCTAGCAATGCATATTTTGGTCTTTAAAAAAATAAACACAAATAAATTAAGGATTTTGCTGTTTGAACGATGTATCTTTTCTTTGGACAAAGTAAGTTGCAAATGTCAACAACTTTAAAAGAGCAAAAGAGAGTATGTCATTATTAAAGGCAGCAATGGTAAAGCAAAAAAACAGTAGCTGTTCCGTTTTGGAAAAGAGTAACACATACCTCTTACATTTAAATACCCTGAGTAGATTTTCTGATATCAGCTCACAGTGAAATAAGCTTTATTGTTATGTAGATGGATGAATTATAAATATGAGGCATAGGAAAGATGAGGAAGGTCACTGAGTGCATTTTTCTGTAGAAGCCAGGTTCATTCTTGGTGACAAGGTTCTGACTAATTTCATGAAAAATACATTACAGTAGCTAATTATCAAACAGGCCACAGCCCTGTTAGCAAAGATTTAATGACAAGATTGCTTCATTAACAAAGTGAGTTCCTAAGTACTACTAATGGAATTCCACTGCTACAAGACTGTAAGAGTGTGCCTAATCTCACAAATTTAGATTAAGCATTTAACCTTATAACATTGAGACCATGATTCAGAATCAAATTCTTAGTAATAATGGGTGAATATTTATTTGATTGTATTCAACAATTTTTTTAGCTTTTTTTTTTTTTAATCTCTGGAAATTGTCTATTATCAGAGGCACCTATCACTTGACCCTATTTTCGTTTCTTTATTCCTTTTTCCTTTCATCTCACCCTTCTGCCCTTTTTTTTTTTTCTTCCTTTCCCTTTCTTCAACCAAGCCTGTTTGGACTTTAGGTATATATTTGATGTTTAGCAACCTAAGCATTCGGCTACTAAACAACAGTTTGAACCGGCTTAGCAGGTCCCTGGGAGAAAGACCTGGCGATCTGCTTCTGTAAAGATTACAGCCTAGAAAACCCTATGGGGCAGTTCTACTCTACCACATGGGATTGCTATGCGTCAAAAATCCACTCAAAAGTACCCAAAAAGAACAACCTGATTTAGCTTTTCTATTGAGATCACAGATCAACTCCTGCACTGTCATGTACTATTTATTTCAAGGTAAAAGATCAACATCATGCATTTGCCACGGCAATTTCCTCCACGAAGATACTCTGATTTTTAAAAATGAATGACAAAGAAATAAGATTAAAGCAGTAGTCATTTCTCATTTGGAATAAATATTTAGCACTAGAAGTTGCCTTTCCAAGGTAGATTTACTTATTAATAGGGTCCTGTTACCTAATCTGGAAACCCTGGGGGTGTAGTGGTTAAGAGCTACGGCTGCTAACCAAAAGGCAGGCAGTTCAAACCCACAAGGTACTCCTTGGAAACCATATGGGACAGTTCTACTCCATCCTATAGGGTCACTACGGGTCAGAATCGACTTGACGGCAACAGGTTTTTTGGTTTTGGTTACCTAATCTAGGGTGGGTAATCAAGGCTAATAACTAACAGGCGTTAAAAGCAATTTTAACACTCATTTGACTCTAGTATCTGTTCTTTATGCAAAGAACTAAAGGGGCACCTCCTGATCCCCTTAACATCAGGGAAAGTAGTTAACACAGGCTGGCTTTTGGTTGCTTGTTCTGGTTTAAGTATTAAGCATTACTTCTTGGCTCGGACTTGGTTATGGTTTTGTAGATGATTTTTTTTCAAGTGAAAAAGAGGAAGAAAATAAGGAAGTATAATACAGAGAGGTTTGAGGTAAATTTTTCTTTTTGTGTATCGTTCTTTCCAGTAACTAAGTTATTTATTGTATGTTGTCTTATTTTTCAGATTGCTTTGTGCTAAACAGAATAGTCATTTTAGAATTAGAAAAAATACATCTTACACTCTGTTGTCATAGCAACCCCATGTGCTAAACAGAACAGAGATGTCATTTTAGAATTAGAAA